AAACACAAAAGGCCACACCATCTTGGTCTTCATATCCTCAAATAAACATCCTTCTTTATGACCTTTATTTATTTAGCTAATTTACATTTCATGTTAAATTAATCAGTTGAGAGATTTTTAGGACGATCTCATAAGATCTGAACTGGCCTGATTTTACAGGGCCGTTCAAGCTATCCAACAAATAGCCTCCCTCCAATCGTATGAAAACGTACCAATAATCTGTCTCATAAAAGTTATTGTCGGAATTGAAAGTTACTCCCACAAGTTGCGTCCTCATAAAGAGTCTTTGGTTGAAAATTTTATAAGAGTTACTTTTATCCCCGTCCGTGCCCCTATTATGACATATGACTATACAGCACGTCCCTGTGAAATCAAACAACAGACCAAAGAGAATCTGCAATCATCTTCTGATGCAATCGACATGCCGATCTTTAAACTATACACTTTTATATAAAACGAAAGTTATTCCAATAATCATCTATCAGTAGCTGCGTTGAAATTCAGATTAGCTCCGTAAATTATTTCTAAACTTTTTAAAGTACAATAAGTATAAATTAATGCAAACTATAGCTATCAGATCCATTCTTATTTTTTAAGCAATTTAAATCGTTAAAATGTGCCTTAGTGTAAATTCCTTCAGATTTATCATTACAGACTAAATAGCATATAAAATATAGAAATGCAAAAACGTAAGAAAGTAACAGGACAAAAATAAAGAGATTTACGAAATTTCAATAGCAAGACTCGGAACATAGTAAAATCTGTATATATTTGTAACCTCAAAATGTGATTAAATAGCATAGTAGACAAAAGCGAATTTGTTAAAGAACGCTAAATGATTTTAGTGAAGATCAAAGTGACGACAATATTGACATTAACCATCCTAAGGTAGCTCACTTTGCGCATCAAAGTCTGGAGACAAACAAGCCGATCCAGTTGCTCTGATAACTGAGGGAGGTGTTGATCAGCCAGTTGCTGCAACTTAAGGAGAATGCTCAAGTGCAAATCAATGGTCTCAGGTATCCGCACAACTGGAAGACCGAAGGTCCTCTCTGATCCAAGCTCTCTGGAAGTTGGTACTCCTTCATCTGAACTACCGGTATCTGCATTTAGGGGGCCGCTACTAGGACTAGCGTGAGCACAGCCATCAGTGTTATCAGTGGTTCTGCTGCAGACAGAATACGTTTCAGAATCCGAGCTTTTGTTGCTCTTCAATTCAAAAGAATCTTCTGAATCTAAGGAGGCTGATCCTGAATTCAATCCAGACTGATTAATCAGATTCAAGACGCCATCAAATCCGGATACCTCATTTACCTGGGCTGATTCTGTGATCGATAGTATAGATGAAGATTGGGGCTCTG